AAGAAAATCAAGGGTTGTATATTTTCTCTAATGTAGTAATTAGAAAAAAGTAAAGGTCGTAGTGGTAAGGAGGGAAAAAAATCTCATGAAAACAGGACAGCAGAGAAAGACCAGGGGAGGGAAGATGGGAAAGGGGAGGTGCTGGGGAACAAAACTGACTAAATTATAGTTATATTGTATAAATGTATGAATGTATCAAAAAAATCCCACTATTACCTACAATTATAATGCACTAATTTTAAAAAAATAAAAGAAAAAGTGGGGGCAGCCAGGCATAGTGGCACATGCCTATAGTAGCCACTTGGGAGGTTGAGACAGATTGCTTAAGTCCAAGAGTTTGAAGACAGCTTGGGCAATACAGCAAGAAACCAAGTACAAAAAAAAAAAAAAAGAGGGCAAGGAGCAGCACAGAAACATTAAAATCTGTACCAATTTCTTAAGAAAACTGGTGGTGTGGTCATGATACTACCATATAGAAAGGATAATGCCTGGCAATGGGGCTTGGGCCCCACCTTCCTGCATCTAAAACTCCAGCTGGCTTGGGCTTCTGGTAAACCCACAAGGAATCCAAGATGCCATCTTACTCATTCAGATGCATTGATTGCTGCTTCCCCACTATTCACAAAGGCCAATGTATGGAATCAATGGAGTGTCTACTGATAGATGAATGAATAAAGCAAATGTGGTATATTTACATAATGGAATATTATTCAGCCATAAAAAGAATGAAATATGGCAACACAGATAGAAGTAGAAAACATTCAGTGAAATAAACCAGGTACAGAGAGACAAATACCCTATGTTGTCATATGTGGAAGTTTAAAAGTTGATTTCACAGAATTACAGAGTAGAACAGCCTTCACTAGAAGATGTCAAGGATGGAGGCAGGAAAGACAGATGAAGGTTAGATAACAAGTACCAAAATACAAAATTGTTCTAGTTTCTATGACACAGCAGGGTGACTACAGTTTATAACAATATACCATATAAAGAACTAGAAGAGAGGAGTTCAAAGGTTCACAACACAAAGAAATGATAAACATTTAAGCAGATGGAAATGCCAATCATCCTGATCATTACACATTTATACATGTGTACCAAATTATCATACTATATTCCATGTACTTATGCACAATTTAGAAAAATATTTTTAAAAAGTGGCCATCTCCTCCTTTCTTACATTCCAACCTGGAGGTCACAGGTCACAGAGAACCTGAATTTGGGGGGCAGGAGACAGAAGCACAGACACTATGTAGGGACCATGTCCAACTAGGACAGGCAGGGCCAAACAAATCCAGTTCCAATCACTGTTGAGAAATGCCAAGGGTAGTGTTTTGTGAGAGTTAACAGGTGTAAATATCTGATGGGGCTGATTCTCAGAACTATCCAACTAGCAGGAACAGGCCCAGTAAGATAGTACTCCCATGCAAAGGGTGAGAACACAGCTGGAAACCCAGCAGGAGCAGAGGACAAGTGCACAGGGCAAAGGCCCTTGTTCTGCTTGGGACAGGGGGTATTGCTTGTGCTCCAACAAGGAACAAAGAAGTCCAAAAATGGATGCATCTATTAGCCCAGCTATGAAGTTGTCTGGAGTCATCTGGGGACACCACTCTGTCCTGACTGGGGGCTATGGGGTTCCTTAGCAACACCAGCCACTTGATCACAAAGTGCACTATTGCTTCTACCTGGGCCATGTTCAGAGCCCATGGATGCGTGCTGGCAATCAGGAGAAAATGGAGGCTCTTCTGGGGTCTCAACTACCTGCTGTGAGGCACCTAAGGATACATCCTGGACTCCCCCAGTCTCAGAAACTTCCTCCTCTGTTTTCTGGGTTTTTGAACCCTCTGAGTAAGGTAGGTCTGTCATCTGGGCAGAGAGGTTAGGAGATTTTGAAAGTCTAGGGACAGGTTTGGTCCCTGCCTCCTCTGGCTGGAAGGGAATTAGCCCAACAGGACCAGGATCATGGCTACAAGCAGAACTGGACAGAACAGGAACCTCCTGGGGCCCAGGCGTGCTCTCCTTGGCCAGAACATTTCTGGATGTAGAACAGGACCTAGACACAGCAGGGGTGGCCACAGCAGCTGAGACAGGCCTCGGGGGAGCACCCATGTTGAGTGCCAGGGCCTCTGAGAACCTAGCTAAATACTCTCTCACCACAGGCAGCTGCGGGGCCACTGGTGGCTGGCTCGAGGCTGGAGGCAAGGGGCAGGGCACTGCGGCATGGTACTCAGCAAAATTGTTTGGGTCTTGAATAACTTCCTCAAGATCCTGGCAGAACAGCTCATAATCATCAGGCAAGGGAAGGTCCCCATCAAGGTAAGGGGCTGCCCAGGCCCGGGCTCGTCCAGTCAGGCGTCCAAGAATCTCACAGACACGGCTTAGGTTGTCTTGGTAATGTTCAAAGCGGAAAGACATGTAATCACCTAGCTGGGCCAAAAAGCGATCCAGCAGCCACGGAGAGCCGTCAAAGGTACCTGGATCTGAGCCAGGCACCCAGTGGAAGTCCATCCTGAGGGGCCGGGGGCCGAGCATTCGCACAGCCGGAAGGCCCCTTTCTGTGGGCTTACCACCAACAGAATCACTAGCTGTGCTCTTCTGTTCCATGGTTGTGCGTACACACACAGGGTCCCCACAGCAGGGCCGCTCAATCCAGGGATCCACAAGGGGAGTATATGCCACCCCAGGAGAGGCCTGGTCCATCTGCTGCCAAGGGTGTGCATTGGCGTAATTGGCAGCTGCCCGGATGGGAATGCGAGGGCCCTGACGACGGCGACGACCCCGAGGCATACTGGAAGCAGAGGGAAGAAAGGAGGAAGAGCCAACGCAGGGAGGTTGTGGACCCAGGCAGCACAACAGGATAGGGATCAGCTGGACAGGATGTGGCAGACCCAGCAGTTCCAGGCAAATGCTGAGGACCAGGGGAGCTGTCAACTGCGACCTTAGGAGAGCAAGGTGAGCCGAGGGGACTGTCAGACGCAGGCCATCATCCAAGGCAATCTGTCCAAAAACAAGGTGGGGAAGAGCAGGAACTAGGCCCAACTGTCACAGGCTGGCAGGAGAAGGCAACAAGCAAGCAAACCCTTGGCGCCCCACTAGGAGCTCTAGAGTGGAAGGAAGGGCCCAAGGGTTGTCCTGGAATGTCCAAGAAGGTAGGAAAATGTCACCTGTGACTTTCAAGGCAAAGGAGTAATGACAGATGCTGTCAATCTCAGGAGAATAAATGAGGTCAGATCAGAATTGTCCGGGAACTTCAGGACAATGACAATAACAACCTTTAAAAAGAGTCCTCCATTTGTGCCAAACACTGATCCCTCCTTGACTGCTGTCAGCATGAGGTTGGTACTATTATTGTCACTGAGGCAAAGTGGCAAAGTGACTTGTCCTGCAGCTACACACCAACTCCTAAGTAACAAGAAGGCAGTGGAGAGGGTTGTAGAAGCCACAGGCCTAACACAACATTATATAGGTTATAGACTATGCTTCAGTCTGTTAAGTAGGTTCCTGGCTGCCACAAACACTATAAACCACTAAGTACACACAGTCTGTCATAAGGTTCTTGAACATCCAGCATCAGGCACATCCAACAAAAGCAGGGTCCTCAGCTGTCACTTGCTCCCTCCTGCCCTGTCCTCTCTCATGCTTTCTGCTGAGTGTCATCTGCAGGCAATGCCACCCCCACCCCAAACACATCTCCCTACATTTGCTATCCCAGGCTACAGTCAGCACCTGCAAAACCCTGGAATCCCTCTTGCTATATCTGCTCCTACCATCCCAATCCACCATGCCAAGAGCCTGGAGAGACCCTCAAAGATGGCCAAACTGGCCCCCCTCCAAGCAGAAATCACCAAGGAGACCAAACTCTAGGCAACTCAGTTCTCTTTTAGGGCAGGGAATCCTCTGGACCTCTCACTCTGTCCCAGCTCCCTCCCCAGTCTCTAGAAATAGAGACCCACTCACAACCTCCACAAAATTCTCTCTGCTTCATCCCTGCATACATATCCCAATCCTCCACCAGCTCACACCTAGGAGCACCATGGACTACACACACCTTTATGTCCAGTTTCCCATTTTACTATCTCAGTTCCCCCATGGAGGTACAGCTATGTTGGTCTTTCTAACCAGTACCTCCCAGATGGCCTGCAACACTCAAAAGCTGACTGAACTACCAGCACCTACATCTGCCACCCAAGCTTTCTGGAATGACCCAGATATACCCCCCATTTCACCTTGAAAGCCCAGCCATTGACCCTGGCTTCTCACCCTACTACAGAAAAAAATATACTGTGGCCTGCAGCAGCAGTACCCCACAAGACAGCTTATGAAAGGAGTCCATTCATGAATCCAGTTCAGTTTTTCACTGAGTTCTAAAACGGCAGTGTCTATATTCAGGCCCCAGTGCCCGCCATCTACTTAAGACTAGGTGTCAGGACCGCCCCCCCAATCACATCCCATGTTATGAACCCTTAGTACTACCTAGACCTCTATCAGCCCTTCTTCCCTGTCTTCAACTCCTACCTGCACTAGGAAACTTAGCTGCCACCCTGCCCACTCACCTGCATACTCGTGTGCCCCTTGCAGTCTCCAGGAGACAGATCCCCTGTACTAGCCAGCCAGCACTGCTTTGCTTTAAGCATTCCTAACACCGGATCAGACTCTCATCATTTTGTGAACCTTGGCCGTCCCATTCCCACCTCACTTATCAGTATGTTGTTCGCTCTTGCTCCTCTCCTCATCCTGCCAGTGTCCTTCTCCTGAACAGTCAGCGCGCTACTACAAAAGCAGGAACCGCGGCGCGCGTGTATTTGCCTCCGCAAAGCCAAAGGCAGCGCCTGGAACGCTGGAACCTTCTTCACTCCTTAGAAACCTAGGGGTCCCGGGGGAAAGAACTCGCCCAAAGCCGAAGGCAAACAACTGCACCGCTCGCCCGCCCGCCCTCCCCTAAGCACCCGCCATGCAAGAAATATGAGCTCACAAGCCCCACATCAATAAAGCCTACCTACCTGCAAATACGCTAGGTGCCCGCAGAGAGGGTCCAGAGATCCGAAACTGGAGACCGTAGGGACTGGCTTTTTTTCTGAAAGCGAGTATCCACGCGGCCCCTAGAAAAAAGAGAACGAGATGAGCCTGAGTCAGGCAAAGCGGGAGCGGCGTCCTGAGACGGCGGGAACAGCCCCCAAATCTCCAAGGGCTCCCCAATCCCCGCCGCAGACCGAGAAACTTGAGCCCCGCCGGCCAGAAGCGCACCAGAACCCTGGCCCGAGACTCCGAGCGCTCCTCCGTGGAACGGGAGTCAGGAAAGAACAAAGGGTCACTGCGTTGGGCCTGCACACTGGGTTGCCTCGCCGGCCTCCCGAGCTCGCGCTGCAACACTGACCCTTCAGACGAAGTCCTGGACGCCCCTTCTAGAAGCAAGCCACCCAAAAGAAAACCGCGTCGCGTAGCCACGCCCCCAGCGTGCGCGCGGTAGCCCCATACGTCCCTGCTCAGGCTCGCGTGACAGCCCAAGCCAGCCGCCCAGTCGGGCCGCGCGCGCGCCCTCAGCCCGCCGCGCTTGCGCCTTGTGCCTTGGGGTCTCTGCTGCGCAGGCGCTTCTGGGACTTGCCAGCGCGGCAGTGAAGCGCAGGGGGTGATGGGAGCGCGCTCTGTACTACGCCGCGCCTAGTGCCACGAGTGCAGGCAGGGCCGCTTGCGCAGGCGCAGATCGGGTGGGCTGTAATTGTCCCTGGCCGTAATCCCCTCCGATACTCCTGCAGCTAAGATCTAGAGGCCGACCAGTATCGACCAGGCCGATACTGAATCTGCTGGACACTGGGTGTCAGTAGGACTGCCCGGGAGCCAGGATGCTCCTGGCGGGGGTGAGGGTATCACGGAGAGTTTGGGTATAAAGGAGCTATACCTAAGAGCTTTCCGAGAATAGCAGGCTTACAGAGTTCACTATTCACCGCCCAAAGCCGGTGCTCGAAACTTAGTTGGGACCTGTATCTACATACTTCCAGCCCAGGTGTGAGAGGGAGAGCAGGCTGCGGCAAGGACTGGCCACCTGAATGCCTAGGGTCTTAAGGCAGGGGCTGTCATGGGTGGGTGGGTGCTACCCTACCCCGGCTGAGGCTGGACCCAGAGAAGATTGGGCAGGCTGTAAAGGCCTTGCTACAGGGCCATAACCAGGCCAAGCGTGCCACCCAGAATTGGTGACCCCAGTCAGCACCCAGACGCTCTAGGAGCCAGGAAGAGATGAGATCATGTTCTCCTCACTTGCCTGTACACAGGCTGTCCAACACTACTTCCCCGTAACTTCGCGGTACCTAGAGAAGGGTTGGGAGAGGATACCAACACCCAGCCCAGTACCAAATGACCATGGGCCACGGATCTGGGTGCGGGCCGGGGCGGGCGGGCCGTTGGGTTCGGGGCAGGTGATTTGCTGAAAAACGAAGCTTCTAAAGGCAAACACACAACATATCTGTTCCCTTTTGGCCCTGGTCTGGTGACTCCTTTCATGAAAGATCTCTGAAATGTTATCTGCATTTATACCCAAACTCATTCCCTTTGATCCTTGAAACGCGAATCAAAGATCACATTGTACCTTCTCTGGTTCTGTGGGGGCTTTCAGTCGCCTGGGCCAAAAATAATAAAAGTGGCACCCAGCCAGGAAACGCCTTCTTGAAGTGTGAATGAAACTTGGATTTTTCGGTTGTATCTTTCCTAATTGACCTGATAATTTAAACTTCCTCCCTGGAGGGAGAAGGGGAGTTCCTGTGAATTCAGCTTACCTCAAGCTCCAGGCAGCTCAGGCCAACTCAGGGCCTACAGCAGAGTGGGCAGCAGGCTTGTGCAAAACACTAATCAAAGAAGGCCAAAAACAAACAAACAAAAAATCCTTTTTTTGGTTCAGATTGCTTTTTTGTTGTTGTTTTAGGCCATCCTCCAGTGTGTGTATGTGTGTGTGTGTGTGTGTGTGTGTATTGTACTAAGATATACAAAACAAAATTTACCATCTTAACCATTGTTAGGTATGAAATTCAGTAACATTAAGTACACGGCTACCATTCCCAGACCTTTCTCATTACCCCAGGAACTGTGTTAAAAACTAGCTCCTCATCCACCTCACCCCCAACCCCTTGCATCCACATTTTACATTCTATCTCTATGAATTTGACTACTCTAGGTACCTCACATATGTGGGCTCAAAATATTTGTGGCTCTCATATTTCACTTAGTATAATGTTTCCAGGGTGCACTCATGTTGTAACGTGTTGGAATTTTACTTTTTAAAAGCTGTTGTGTATATATACATTTTGTTTATTTATTCATCTCTCCATGGACACTTGGTATTGTTTCCATCTTTTGGCAATTGTGAATAATGCTGCTGTGAATATTGTACAAAATTCTGTTTTGAGTCCCTGGTTTCAATTCTTTTTAAGTATTTCCCCAAAAGAGTGGAATTGCCGGATCATATGGTAATTCTGTATCACTTTTTCCCCTTTTCTTATTTTATTTATTTACTTTTATTGGTTCTTTTTAATTATACATGACAGTGGAATCCATTTTAACATAATTATACAATATATGTAATATTGTATAATATATCTTGTTGTAATTCAGATCCCAGTACCTCTCCCTCCCCTTCCCTCTCCCCGCTCTCTTCTTGCTCCCTTCCCTATATTGATCTTTCTGCCATTTACCCATAGTTATATTTTTAAATTAATTTCCTATGGATATACACAATGGTAATATCAACTGTGGCATATTCATATATGTACATAGGATCTATATCACTCTTTGAGGAACCACCAAAATGTTTTCCATAGTGGTTGCATCATTTTACATTCCCACCAACAATGCACAAGGGTTCCAGTTTCTCCACATTCTCCCCAACACATGGTTATTTTCTGGGTTTTTCAACAATAGCCATACTGATGGATATTATGTGGTATCTCATAGTGGTTTTAATTTGCATTTCCCTAAATGACTAGTGATAGTCATTAGTGATAGTCAAATGTTATTGTCCATTTGTATGTCTTCACTGGAGAAAAGTCTATTTAAGTCATTCCTATTTTTAGTTGAGCTTTTGTTTATTTTTAAGTTGTAAAAGTTTTTTTAGATATTCTAGAGATTCATATGCATATAGATATACATATAAACATAGATATATATTTTGCTAATATTTCTCCCATTCCATAGATTGCCTTTCATCCTATTGATAGTTTCCTTTGATACACAGAATTTTAAAAATTTTACAAAGTCAAATTTGTCTACATGCTGTTTTAGTTGCTATACTTTTGATGTTACAGCCTAGAAATCACTGCCAAATCCAATATTGTGAAGATTTTGCCCTATGAATTTCTTCTAAGAGTTTTATAGTTTTAGGTTTTACATTTATGTCTCTGATCCATTTTGAATTAATTTTTGTGTATTCTGTTTGGTAAGGATCTGGCTTTGTTCTTTTGCATGTGAACATTCAATTCTTCCAGCACCATTTGTTATAAAGACTGCCCTTTCCCCATTGAATGATTTTGGTACCCTTGTCAAAAATCATACATGGGGCTGGGGCTAGGGCTCAGCTGTAGCATACTTCCTTGGCATGTGTGAGGCGTTGGGTTCGATTCTCAGCATCACATATAAAAAAATAAGAATCTATCAACAGGGCTGGGGATGTGGCTCAAGCGGTAGCGCGCTCGCCTGGCATGCGTGCGGCCCGGGTTCGATCCTCAGCACCACATACAAACAAAGATGTTGTGTCATACAAAGATGTTGTGTCTGCCGATAACTAAAAAAATAAATAAATATTTAAAAAAAAGAATCTATCAACAAAAAAAATAATAATTTAAATAAGTATTTTTTTAAAAATCATAAGCTAGGGCTGGGGTTGTAGCTCAGCGGTAAAGCGCTCTACCTAGCACGTGTGAGGCCTTGGATTAGATCCTCAGCACTACATAAAAATAAATAAATAAAGGTATTGTGTCCAACTACACCTAAATAATAAATTTTTTAAAAAATAATATATGCTGGGCATGATAGCACACTCCTGTAATCTTAGCAGCTTGGGAAGCTGAGGCAGGAGGATCACAAGTTCAATGCCAGCCTCAGCAATTTAGAGAGGTTCTAAGCAACTTGGAGAGACCCTGCCTCAAAATAAAAAATAAAAAGGGATGGAGATGTGGCTCAGTGGTTAAGTGCCCCTGGATTCAATCCCTGGTACCAAAAAAAAAAAAATTGTATGTGAGAGTTTATTTCTAGACTTTCTATTAGTTCCCATCAGTTTATGTGTCTTTTTATTTATTTTATTTTTTCTTGTACTGGAGATTGAACTCAGGGGCCCTTTACCACTGAGCTACATGCCCAGCCCTTTGTTTATTCTGAGATACAGTCTTACTTAGTTGCCCAGGTTGATCTCTGGAGTAGCTGGAATGCACCACTATTTCTGGCTATACATTTGTCTTTATGCCATTACCACAATGTTTTGATTACTGTAGCTTGGTAGTATGCTTTCAAAAAAGGAAGTATGAGACCTTCAAGTTTGTTCCTTTTTGAGATTGTTTTGACTATTAGGGGTCCCTTGAGATTCCATATGAATTTCAGGATAGGTTTTTCTATCTCTGCAAAATCACCATGGATATTTTAATAATAATTCATTGAATCTTAGGTCACTTTGGATAGTATTGATATCTTACCAATGAGATGAGCTCAGTGGTAGAACACTTGCCTAGTATGCATGAGACCCTGTGTACGATGCTCTTCTAGCTCTGGGGGAATATTATTTTAGTCTTTTATTTTCAGGTTTTATTTTATGTCTTTTCCTTTTATTTAGGTTTTCTTTCTTCCTTTCTTTCTTTCAATACTGAGGGTTGAACCCAGGTGTGCTTACCACTGAACCACATCCCCAGCCCTTTTTTATATTTTATTTAGAGACAAGGTCTCACTGAGTTGCTAAGTGCCTTGCTAAGTCTGAGGCTGGCTTCAAACTCACTATCCTCCTGCCTCAGCCTCCCAAGCAGCTGGGATTTCAGATGTACACCACCATGCCTAGCTTATTTAGGTTTTCTTTTATTTCTTTTAGCAATTCAGGGGGTAGGGTGGTAGTGGGGATTTAACTCAGGGCAATTTACCACTGATCTACATTCCCCAGCTCTTTTTATGTTTTATTTTGAGACAGGGTCTTGCTAAATTGCTTAGGGCCTCGCTAAATTGCTGAGGCTGGCCTCAAACTTGTAATCTTCCTGCCTCAGCCTCCCAAGTCACTGGGATCACAGTGGGGCACCACCGCCCCAACTTAATAGTTTTAACAATGCTTTTGAGGAACTTCATGGTTTTCTAGGTAAGCTCATAACATCTATGAACAAAGATTTTTACTTCTTTCTTTCCATTTTGGAACTCCTTTTCTTGCATAATTATTCTGGCTACAACTTCCAGTACTGTTTTAGCTTTTTTGCTTCTATGACCAAAAGACCTAATGAGAACAATTTTAGAAGAGGAAGCTCACGGTTAAGGGGTTTCAGATGGCCCATATCTTTGCTCTGGGCCGCAGGTGAGGCAGAACATCTTGGCAGAAGAGTGTGGAGGAGAAAAACAGCTCAGACCATGACAATCAGAAAACAGAGTTCTGCTCACCAGGGACAAAATATAAACCCCAAAGGCACACCCCCAGACATCTACCTCCTCTAGGCACTCCCCACCTGCCTACATTTACCACTAAATAGATTATAGCTTTTTTAACCCAATCATTTCACCTCTAAACTTTCTTGCATTGTCTTATACATGAGCCTTTGGGAGGCTCTTCATATCTAAACCATATCAAGCACTATGTTGGAATAGATGTGGCAGAAATGTGCATCCTTGTTTTGTCCCCTGTCTTAAGGGAACAGATTTTAGACTTTCAGAATGAAATATGATGTTGACTGTGGGTTTTTCATGTATGAGCTTTACTATTTTGAAGAAGCATCCTATTATTGAGTATCTTTGTCTTGAAAAAGTATTGAGTTTTGTCAAATGCTTTTTCTGTATTGAGATGATCACACATTTTTTTCCCCTTTTGCTCTACTAATGTGATGCATATACTGACTTCAATACATATATTTCCAAATAATTTTAACTTTCCTATGGATTGAGTCCTTAACAGGGCCCAGGCTGCCTTTTCAACCAGAGTGGGGGAAGCAAACTTTGCTGAGAGCCCATCATATGATGAAAGAATTCCCAAGGATAATAAAGCAGGAATAAGCTCAATTCACAGATGGACAAGACTTACCCAAGGGAAATCCCCTTACTTGTATGGATGCATTTGAACTGCGAGGCCCAGCGAAAGTGGTCACCCAAAGGACATTAGATTGGACTTTGTCTCTCAGATGTTTCAGGTTAATGTGAGCCCTGTGCCTCCCTAGAGCCAGGGGTAACAAGAAGCAGGCATAGGCAGCACAGAAGGGTTGATATTCACTCTCCAACAACTATTAGCCTCTTAGCTGCCTGTGCTCTTTGTGCTTGGACTTGCATGAGAGTCATTCTTCAGAGCATCTGAGTCAGAATCAGGAGCAGCAGAGCTTTGCTATTTAGCCAGCCATTTTACTGTCTTGACAGAAATTTCCTTCAAAATTCAGAGCTGTATCCTTTGGTGCCTTTTCAGAGGTCTAATGGTCATTTTCCAGAAAGGTCTACCTTCTGTCCTGCTGATGAGTCTGTGACCTATGTGATTAGCATGGACACTTCAGAGACCCTTCCAATTTAGCCAGGAGGATGAGCCCCTGAGTGTGGTGCTCCAGGGCTCCTTGTACTTCAGCCTTTAGAAAGAGTAGAGCCTTTGTGGGTTTCCTTCCATTCTTTTTGTTGTTGAGGTTAGATTTACTATAATGAAATATACAGAACCTAATGTAGTTGCATCCCCATATCTGAAGTTTCTCTTTCTATGGTTTCAGTTACCTATGCTCAACCGTAGACTGAAAATACTATATTAAAAAATTCCATAAATAAACAATATAAGATTCTTAAATTACATAGCATTTTGAGTACCAGAAATATAGCACCGCCCCATTCTGTATCTCTCAGGATGAACCATCCCTTTGTACTTGTTCTCAAGTAATCCTTATTTTATTAATAATGGTCCCCAAACACAAAAATAGAGATACTGTCAATTTGGATATGCCAAAGAGAAGTTGTAAATTGCTTCCTTTGTTCCTTTTAGTGAAAAGTGAAATTTCTGAAAAAGAAAAAAAAAATGCCTGTTGATATTGCTAAGATCTATGATAAGAACGAATCTAAGCATGAAATTGTGAAGAAAGAAAAGTAACTTTGTGCTAGTTTTTACTGTTGTACCTAAAACTGAGACAGTTACAGCTACAGTGTGTGGTTAGTACTGAGTTAAGATGAAAAGAGGCTGATCACAGTGATGCATGCCTATAATCTAAGAACTCAGGAGGCTGAGGCAAGAGGATCACAAGCTTAAGGCCAGCTTCTGCAATTTAGCAATACCTCATTTACTTAGTGAGACCCTATCTCAAAAATAAAAGGGGACTAGTGATGTACTCAGTAGTAAACTGCCCCTGGTTCAATCCCCAATTTTAAAAAAAGAAAAGACCATTACTTTGTGGGTGGAAGACATAAACAGAAAACCATTCATGGCAGAAAGCTTTGAACCTATAGGAAGTTTTCAACAAGAGATCCACTGAAAGGAGTGACACCAAATCATTTACATAACACCACTGTATATTGGTATAATTATTCTATTTTATTTTTAGCTATTTTTGATAATCTCTTACTGTGCCTAATTTAAAATTTAAACTTTATCAGAGGCACATAGGCACATACACAAAGTATATATAGGATTTAGTAGTACCCAAGATTACCTGGAAGTCTTAGAATGTATCCTCTAAGAATGCATTGTACAGTCGCATGTATTTTGTACATGTAAACCTCTGGCATATACAATTAAGCTATGAACATTCTATTGTACAGAGAGTGCCGGTATGCTCCATTCTTCACAGGCACTGTTCCAATTTCTACTCCATAGTTTCATTTCACTCATTCTGGAACTTCTAACAAACAGAACCCAACAGTATGGACTCTTTTGTGTCTGCCCTTGTTATGGTTTAGATGTGAGGTGTCCCCCAGAAGCTCACATGTGAGACAATATAAGAAGGTTCAGAGGAGAAATGATTGGGTTATAAGAGTCTTAACCCAATCAGTGAATTAATCCCCTGATAAGGATTAACCGAAGTGGTAGGGTGTGGCTGGAAGAGGTGGGAATGGGGGCGTGGCGGTGGGGTATATATTCTGTATCTTGAGAGTGGAGACTCTTTCTGCTTTCTTATCACCATATGAGCTGCTTCCTTCTGCCACATTCTTCTTCCATGATGTTTTGCCTCACCTCAAGCCCCAAGTATTGGAGCCAGCCTTCTATGGACCAAGACCTCTGAAACTGTGAGCCCTCAAATAAACTTTTCCTCCTCTACAATTGTGCTGGTGGCGTCCTTTAGTCATAGCAGTGAAAAAGCTGACTAAAACAGGCCTTTTATGGTTAATATAACATTTGTAAGAATCATCCAAATTGTAGTTTAGTATGTCTCATTTGTTTTTATTGCTATATTGCATCTCATTTCATGTCTACACAGTTTTCATGTCCATTCTTTTATCCATGGACATTCTGTTTTTTCTGAATTTTTTTCTGTTTTGTTTTTTTTTAAGAAAGCTGCTATGAGCATTTGTGCAAGTTCTTTTTATACACATAAGTTTCATTTCTTTTAGATAATATCTAGGAGTGGACTTGCTGGGTCATAAGATAGGTACATATATTTAACTTTATAACAAACTTCCAAGAATTTTCCAAAGTACTGAAACTTTTGTATTTCCTTCAGTAATATATCATGATTCTAGCTGCTCCACACCCTCCCCAACACTTGATATGATCAGCCTTTTAAATTTTAATCATTCTGACAGGAGAGGAGTAATATCCATTGTATTTTTGGTTTGCATTTCCTGATAACTAATAGTGCCCATGCTTTCACATGGTTGTTTGTCATATTTTATTAATTTGCAAGTTATTAAGTTATTACATACATTTTGAATAAGTCTTTGTCAGATACATTCATCAAAAATACCTTTTCCTACTGTCAATTGTGTTATTCATTTTCTCAATAGTGTCTTTTGAAGAGAAATTTTATGTCTGGTGTCTTGAGATTTTAATATTCAAAGAAACTTTTGCTTCCCCAGTGAAAGGAAGATTTTCTCCTATGTTTAATTTTTTTTTTTTTTTTAAATATTTATTTATTTATTTTTTAGTTTTTGGCAGACACAACATCTTTGTTTGTATGTGGTGCTGAGGATCGAACCCGGGCCGCACGCATGCCAGGCGGGCGCGCTACCGCTCGAGCCACATCCCCAGCCCTCTCCTATGTTTAATTTTAAAAGTTCTATTGATTTATCTCTTATATGCATATTTATGGTGTATTTTGAACTGATTTCTTTGTGTGACATAGGTCGAAGTTCATTTGTCTCCATGTGTACATCCTGCTGTTCTGGCACCATCTGTTAAAAAGTTGATTCTCTTCCTCCTGAATTACCTTGACACTTTGTTAAAATTTCAGTTCCATTGGGCTATGGGTGTAACTCAGTGGTAGAGCAAATTCTTAGCATGCTCAAGGCCCTGGGTTCGATCTCCAGCACCAGCAAAAGATAGAGTCCATGAATATAAATTCCTTAGGACTTTCCATGTACATGATCATGTCATCTATGATTAAAGATAATTATACTTTTAAAATATATATGTTCATATTCAGTTGTCCCTTGATATCCACAGGGTATTGGTTTCAGGACCCTCCTTGGACACCAAGATCTAAAGATGCTCAGTTTCCTTATATAAAATGGCATAGTACTTGCATGTAACCTACACATATTCTCCTGTATACTTTTATTTTTTTTTTTGAGAATTTTAATATTTATTCTTTTTTAGTTTTCAGCGGACACAACATCTTTGTTTGTATGTAGTACTGAGGATCGAACTCCGGCCACACTCACGCCAGGCGAGCACACCACTGCTTGAGCCACATCCCCAGCCCCCATCCTCAGCCCTTTTTAAATTTTTTTTGAGACAGGGTCTTACTAAGTTGCTGGGGCTGGCTTTGAACTCACAATCCTCCTGCCTCAGCCTCCTGAGCTGCTAGGATTACAGGTGTACACCACTGCACCAGTCTTGGGCAGTTTTTGCCACTGTGTGGGAGAAGGCTGTGGGGACATGCTGCCTTGGGTACCCCTGGCAGGCAGTGCTAGGAGGCAGCTCCTGTTTGGGGGTGCTGTGCTTGTTCCTTCTAGAGCTGCCCTGCATAAAGGCATTCTGAAGCCTAGTGCTGTCTGGGCCCAGGCAGGAACTCAGGTTGGGGAGATGTGGACCCAGGAGAGCACCCTGGTTGCAGTGAAGCCAGATGGGGTACAGCGCCGGCTCATCGGAACTGTGATCCAGCGCTTTGAGAGGCGGGGCTTCAAGCTGGTTGGCATGAAGATGCTGCAGGTATCAGAGCCCTTGTAGTGTTTGAGGTACTGGGGGTGCTTCTTGGCCATTCACAGCTCAGTCCAGTGTCATGGGGGTTTTGTGGCTTGGTATTTGCAGGTGTGGGGAGGTATCTGTCTGGGATGACAGCCTATGTAGGTATTAACTGCAATGTGCCCTGAGGTCAGGACACCAGTTTGGGGGGGGGCTCATCTTTAGGGACTCCTCTTACTCTTCTCCCATGTTACCCAGACACCTGACAGCATCCTTGCTGAGCATTACCAGGACCTACAGAGGAAGCCCTTTTACCCAGCCCTTATCAGCTACATGAGCTCTGGGCCCGTGGTGGCAATGGTACGACAGGACCAGGGTGGAGGATGTGCAATGTGGGTGTGTCCTCCACCAAGCACAGGGAAAGGATTGAGCCCTGGGCTTTTGGTGCTCCTCACTTCTCCCCAACTTGTAGCTCTGTACTGCAGGCCTGGGAAGAGTACAATGTGGTCCGCACCTCAAGGGCCATGATAGGACACAGTGACTCCACTGAGGCTGCCCCTGGGACCATCTGGGGGGACTTCAGCATCCACATCAGCAGGTACTGGGAGCCTGATACACTGGGTTGCCTGCTGTGGGGTGAGGAGGGCCATTCCAGGAACAGCATGCTTTGAAGGCAGATCCCAAGGCTTGGGTTTCTTGCTGGATGGCAGATGAAGCTGTGGGAGACCAACCTTGCACGTAACTGGGTCACACTCCCCAGCTGGGTGCTGAGGCGCTCAGTCACAGAAATGTGACAGAGCTTTCCCCACCCTTGGTGGGGGGTGAAGCCAAAGAGGCTTGACAGTGGGACGTCATGAATAATACTGACTAGAACAACTTCTTTCCCTGCCCTTCCATGCACTTATTGATGATGACACATTCTCATTGTTTGTTGTTTTGACTGTACTCTGTGTTGTGTGTTATCTGTCCTGCCAGATACCCTGAAGGGCTGGTGTGGGACACTGGTGGGGAAAGGAGGCTCCCAAAAATCAGGGTTTGGGCTGGCCCCAGAGGCTGGGCTGGCAGTTTTCTGGCTCCTAGTTTTCCTTTTCCTTCTGCAGTCACCTGCTTGCTCCTGTGGGTGCAGGGGAGCAGCAGATTGACCCTAGGGCCCTTGGGTGCACACTGGAGACTAAGCTACTTGTCACCTGGCACAGGAACATCATCCACGCCAGTGACTCAGTGGAAGGGGCCCAGAGAGAGATCCAGCTGTGGTTCCAGAGCAGCGAGCTGGTGAACTGGGCAGATGGGGGCCACTACAGCAGCAGCTACCCAGCTTGAGGGCTTGTGCTGCCCTCAGTGCCCCAGCAACCACCCAGGACAACTGCTTTGGTCAACAACTCAAGCCACACCCATCCTGTCTCCCCCAAGCCACTTTCTTGCTCACTTTCTGCCCCACCACAGCCCAAGGGAGTTTGAGGCCCAACTCTATGTGCCTTTCTGTATCCTAAGTCAGCACAAGATTGGACCAAATCCTTCTGTACCAAAGTGCCAGACAACCTTTGGGCATCCTCAGAGGTCACCTTAACTGCTCCAAAGGAGACACATTAAAATCCACTGCTTATAATGGGGGTGGTGTGCTCATTTTGTCTTCTGCCATTTCTGAGACAGTAAAGATGCTTTTATGAAGTAGTAAACAGAATAAAATTGAAGCTTCCTGCCTTGCACACACAGAAGGTGCTCCCTGACTTTGATGACTGTATGAATCAGGCTGAAATCTGGGCAAATTCTAGCGGAACTCTGCCTAGCCAGTCTGATTCTGCTGAAGGAGAGTGGCAGGAAGGGAGAGGTTAGGGACTAGGACCACACAAGGCACAATGAGCCTGTGACCATGGTTCCCCCCACTTAGTGGCCTGATTTCATTCAACACCAAGAGCTGCCCAGCAGTAGGTTTTTTTTTTTTTTTTCTGGCACTGGCAATTGCACCTAAGGGCTTCATGCATGCTAAACAAGTGCTCAACCACTGAGCTACATTCCAGACTTTTAAAAAAATTCTAGAGACAGTCTCCCTTAAATTTGCAGAGGTTGGCCTCGGACTTGCCATCCTTCTGCCTCTGCCTCCTGAGCTGCTGGGATTAAAAGCCAGCGCCACCGGGCCCACCTGGCATCCGCACATCTTCACGTTGCCACAAGCTGCTCATATCCATGGGTCTTGAGGTTGCTTCTCTATAGCCCAGGTTACAGGGAGGCCGACCTGGCTGTCACTTCCCCACTTGACACGGAGCGACGGAGGTCTAGGGTCTGGGTTCTGAACGGCTACAGATGGCGTGGGCGAAATGCCGAGACGCTCTCCACCCGGCACAGGGGCAGTCCTGCGTGCTCTCCCCGGCCTTTTCGGTCCCAGTTTCCCGAGGTCATCCACCACCGGGAAAGCGTGTCCGCGAAGCGGGTATGTCCGCACACCGAGCGCCCCACGAACTGGCCTTAGTCCAGTAGTCTGAGTGTCGGTGGAGAACGGTCGCCTACTAGCACCGGAGGGAAGGACCTCCTGTATACTTTTTTTTTCCTTTTTTTTTTTTTTTTTTAAGTTTCAACCCTTGTATGTCTACTTCTCTAGTTTATTTATTTATTTATGTATTTATTTATTTTTAGAGAGAGAGAGAGAATTTTTTTAATATTTATTTTTTAGTTCTCGGTGGACACAACATCTTTCTTTGTTTGTGGTGCTGAGGATCGAACCCGGGCTGCACGCATGCCAGACGAGCGCGCTACCGCTTGAGCCACATCCCCAGCCCCCCCCCCCCTTTTTTTTAAAAATATTTTTTAAAAAATTGTTGATAGATCTTTATTTTTATTTATTTATTTATATGTGGTGCTGAGAATCGAACCCAGTGCCTCACACATGCTAGGCAAGTGCACTACCGCTGAGCCTCAGCCCCAGCCCCTTTGTTTTCCTTTTTAATACAAGTTCTGACTATGTTACCCAGACTCCTCTCAAACTCCTGTGTCCAAGTAATCTTCTTGCTTCAGCCACAGCCATATCCATCTCTTATACTTTAAATCATCTCTAGATTACTTGTAGTACCTAAGATAATATAAATGCTAGGCAAATAGTTGTATTATTTTGGAAATAATAACAAGAAATGCAAGTCTGTATATGTTCAGTACAGACACCATTCCCCTCCCAAATTTTCCATCCACAGTTGGTTGAATCTGTGGATGTGGAACCCACTGATACAGAGGGCTGAATATACAAAGGACATTTCTGTGTATCTATTTATCAATCTATAATATGTACATCATATATTCATATGTATATATACACCATATATGTATATTTATATATGTGTGTGTGTGTATATGTGTTTTTCCCCCCTAAAAACAGCCAAGATCTTTAGTAACAAAGTTCAACAAAGGTGATAGGAGTACGAATCCTTGACTTATTCCTAATCTTAGAAGGAAAGTGTTTGATCTTTCACCACTAAGTGAGATATTAGCCATCGACATTTATCCTAGATGACTTTTCAGCAGGTTGAGAGAGTTTCTTTTTAGCTCTAGTTTATTAAGAGTTTGTTTCACATAAATACATGATATATGTGAATGACATATGCTTTTTCTCTATTGATATGATCACAATATTTTTATTTATCATTCTGTTAATGTGATAAATTATATTGATTAAATGTTGAATATGAAACCATCTAGCATTCCTGGGATGAATCCCACTTGGCCATAATGAATTTTTGCATGTATTGCTAAATTCAATATGCTCATATTTTGTTAAGGACTTTTTCATCTATTTTTGAGGAATATTGGTCATTTTCTTTGCTTGTAATGTTTCTTTGCTTGTAATTGTCTGGTTTTGAAACCAAGGTGATAATTTGGGAAATATTTCTTTCTCATCTATTTTCTGAGATAATTATTGTAAAGATTGGCACTAACTCTTCCCTAAATATTCTATAACATTAATCAATGAAACAATCTGGGCCTGGAGTTTTTTTATGAGGTAGTTTTTTGTTTGTTTTGTTTTGTTATTTGTTTTTGAAGTACCAGGAATTTAACCCAGAGCCTCATTGTTTTAGTCAGCTTTTTCACTGCTGTGACTTAAGGACCCAACCAGAACAACTATAAAGGAGGAAAAGTTTATTTGAGGCTCACGGTTTCAGAGGTCTTAGTCCATAGAAGGCTGGTTCCTTTCCTCAGAGCTCAAGGTGAGGCTGAACATCATGGCGGGAGAGTGTGGCAGAGGGAAGCATCTCACATCATGATCAGAGAGAAAGAGATTTCCACTTGCCAGAGACAAATATATACCCCATAGTCACGCCCCAATTCCCACCTCCTCCAGCCACACCCTACCACTTCAATTACCATTCAGTTAATCCCTATCAGGGGATTAAATCACTGATTGGGTTAAGACTCTTACAGCCCAATCATTTCTCTTCTGAACCTTCTTACATTTTCTCATAAGTGAGCTTTTGGGGGACACTTCACATCCAAACCATAACACTCATGCATACTAGGCAAAAGCTCTACACTGAGTTATTATTATCTCTAGCCCTTCTTACTTTGAGACAGAGTCTTACTAAGTTGTACAGGCTGTCCTTGAATTTGAAATCTCAAGTAGCTAAGATTATGGTATTTGTTACCACACCCAATTTATGAGGTTTTTTAAAATTTTTTTAGTTGTAGATGGACACAATACCTTTATTTTAGTTATTCATTTTTATATGGTGCTGAGACTCAAAACCAGTACATCACACATGCTAGTCAAGTGCTCTACCACTGAGCCACATCCCCAGCCCCAGTTTATGAGATATTTTTAATGAAGAATTTATAAACATTTTAATAGAGGGCTACTCATATTTTCTACTTCTTATTAAGAAATCTGTCTATTTCATCTAAATTGTCAAATTTATTTGTAATATTGCCTTATTATCATTTGTGAGTATATGAGTATATGTGTGTGTACACATGCAAGCTTGAGGATTAAACCCAGAGCCTCATGCATGGGAGGCAAGCACCCTACCATTGAGATACACTCCAGTGCTTTTATTATTCTTTTAATGCCTATAACTTTAGTAGCAGTGTTTCTTCTTTCGTTCCTGATACAAGTAATTTTATTTTTTTCAAATAACAAACATTTTATTTTATTAATCATGATTTTTTTCTACTTAATTGTTATCCACTTTTACATTTATTATTTATATCTTATTTATGTTGGTCTTAATTTGTTCTTTTTTTTTTGGTTTAAAGAAATTGCTGGGGTCATGGATTATAAATCTTTCTTTTTAAAAAAATATTTATTTTTTAGTTTTAGGTGGACACAATATCTTTATTTTATTTTTATGTGGTGCTGAGAATCGAACCCAGTGCCTCACGCATGCTAGGCGAGCGTGCTACCACTTGAGCCACATCCCCAGCCCTAAAAATCTTTCTTTTGAAGAGATGTATTCACTGTTTGGGGCTTTTTTGTTTTCGTTTTTGAGAGGGAGTCTTGCTGTATTGCCCAGCCTGCTCTCCAACTTGTGGGCTCAATTGATCCTTCTGCCTTAGCCTCCAGAGTCATTGGGTTTATAGGTGGGCATCACCATATCCAGCATCATTCTTATAATGTTAAACATGTGCTAACTTTATGACCTAGACATTTCAGTCCCAGATGACCAAGAGAAATTAAAACATTTGTTGCAGTTTCATTGCTAATAGCCCATAACAATCCAAGTCAAATATTCACCTATAGGTGAATGGATAAGCAAAATTGGCACATCTGTTCAATGGAATACTATTTATTAAAAAGAAGAAGAGAAAAAGATAAATCAGGTACATCACAAAAACTGAGTGAAAGAAATCAGACTCAATAGAGTATATACTGTATGAAACCCTTTATATAAGATGTTCCGGAAAAATGCAAATTCATCCTTAGTGGCAGAAAGCTGATCAGTCCTCACCTAGAACAAAGAAGTGGAAGAAGTGAAAGACCAAGAGGGCATGAAGAAATTTGGGGGAAAGGGGATGAAAAATTTCTATATCTTGGGGCTGGAGTGGTGGCTCAGTGGTGGAGCATTTGCCTGGCATGTGTGGGGCATTGGGTTCAATTCTCAACACCACATATAAATAAATAAAATAAAGGTCCACTGATAACTAAAAAATATATTTTTTAAAAAGTTTCTATATCTTGATCATTGGGGTGACTTCCTGAGTAGATACATTTGTCAAAAGTTATCAAATTGTGGGCTGGGATTGTGGCTCAGTGGTGTAGTGCTCACCTAGCATGTGCGAGGCCCTGGATTCAATCCTCAGCACCAGGTAAAAATAAATAAATAAAATAAAGGTATTGTGTCCAACTACAACTAAAAAAAATTTTTTTAATTGTCAAATTGTACCATTTATATGAGTATGATTTACCCTCAAAAACTTGTTATTGAAACTTTTCACAAAATTCTATCAGAGCTGCTAGCCATTAGAGTATAAATGAAAATAATGTGACTTCTGTTCAAAAAATTAAAAATGGGCATAGTGTTCTATAAATGTCAATTGGATTTAGGTGGTTGATAGTGCCTTCAAACCTGAATTTTTCAGCTGTATATCAATTGCTGAGCAAGGTATTAAAATCTGTGTGAATTCGTCCTTTATCTATCTAACTATGATTCTGGTATCAAACCCACAGTTTTGTCTTTTATTGTTTTAATTTTGCA